CTTGGCTCACAGTCATAGAATAAAATATCCTATAATTCATAATACCCATGTTTTATTACTGCCATAATCCCACGCTGAGGTTCAACTAAATCCTTCATAAGCTCATGCAACACAAAGTATAAAATACCTCAAATCATATGTTAAGCTCACATTCATCCTCGTAGCAGTCAAGTCAATTTTCTCAACTTACCCAAACTCAAATCACAACACATATAATCTACTAGTAGAAAGAAACTCTCCACACAACATGATACAGATCAAACATTTGTAGACCACCCCGCAGGAGATAACCTACCTGCTTAGCCTCAAATTGGTATTTCACTACACCCTACCATGGCCACAACCATCATACAATCACTTAACCATCACATCCCAATCAACCCTTCTCATTACATCAAGCCATCTGAACGCATCCCGCAGCCACCTTACATTCATCATATATCTATCCAACTACTCACCGAGCCATAAATCCCACTTATTGGGACACTACATGATGTATGGGTCCAAAAGCACATAATCACACAATAGAAACCACCGAGCCCAAACTGCAGTCTGAATACATCTTCAATGCCAGCTCCCGTCATACACAGCAAAACCAGCTCCAAAATATGCACGCAAGGTGCAGAAGTGTAGTATAAATACAACCGACCCCATGTACTCAATAAGTAACAAACCTAACCTTAGGTTGAAATCAGTGATGAGCTTAGAAAATGGTCAGAGTCCAACATCAATAGCCAAATAAGCACTCGTAATAATACAATGAAGGAAGTACAGGCAATAACTCAAAAGATATAATGTTCAACTCATTCACAGTTACAAAACAAATTGACATACTTTTCAGGTATAACAATAAAGCCCAAATCTTTCACAAGAGTCACAAAATATGAGTATATCATAAAAACTATGATGATTCCCAAACTTTCAACAACATATTAGATATTTCATTATCAGATAGCATGAGGAAAGTGCATCTTTATGCCTACATGTCAATATGCATGTCAAGTCATTAGTTATCATATACCGTCTAGCATGAGGAATATACATCTCAATGCCTACATGTAAAATCATGAATGTCACAATACTGTCTAGCAAGAAGAATATACATCTCAATGCCTACATGTTAAATGTACATGTCAAATCATGAATGCCACAGTACTGTCTAGCATGAGCAAAATGCATCTCTATGCCTATATGCCAAGTATGCATGTCAAATGGATGATTTCACGGTGATATTCCCAAGTACTCTCACCCTCAACATACTCAAGTTGTCTGTCTCAATTGCCCACTTCATTACACACACACAATCACTCAACACTATACGGGTGCCTGGCTCATAAGCCCCTCACAAAATCACATGTATATATATCACTATGCCTACATTCATTGATGGTATGTCAGACTCCGGAGGGGCGGATCCTGCCCAAGCGCTAATCAAAAGACTATAAGGCCTGTTGTGGCGTGCAGCCCGATCCAAAATAATAAATAAGCCAATAAGGCCTGCTACAGCATGAAGCCTGATGCACAATAATAATAATAATAATAATAATAAAGCGGCGGCATGCAGCCCGGTCCACAATAACACTGACAACACGGCTCTCAGGACCACCTCATTCATCAATCTCTTATGTCTCAGGGGCTCGCAATCTCGTACTACTCAGCCCAAACAATGATAACATGTGATGCAACAATGAATAATGAACAGAGACTGAGATATGATATGCAAATGAAGAATCATGACTGAGTATATAATTACAGTTAGAGCAGATAACTCAAAACAAAAGAAATACCCTCATTAGGTCTCAACCGAATAAGCACATAGCCAAAATATGATTTCTAACATGAATCACTGCGCAATTACTCTAGCAAGTAGGAATTACACGAATAGAACAAAATATAAGAGCAAAACAAGTCCGGTCAAAGCCTAATAGTCAACTTGAATCATGATTATCGCGGTGCACGCCCACACGCTTGTCACCTAGTATATGTGTCACTCTAATACATCTCTTATAACATAGTTCCTAGGGTTAAGTACCTTCAAATCCAAGTTTAGATATGTTACTTACCTCGAACAAGTTAAATCCTATACCGAGCAAGCCAAACAATACTCTAGAAATTCCATCCCGCGCGTATCAACCTATGAACGGCTCAAAACTAGCCAAAAGCAACTCAAAAAAATCAAATAATGCCAAAGGAAAAAATTTCAAATAATAAAGGTCGAGTCTTTACACATTTACTCAAAGTTAACCAAAAAGCCAAACCCGGGCCCACACTGCAAAATCTAACAGAACTCACAGAATCCGACAACCCATTCAATTACGAGTCCAACCATAATAATTTCAATCAAATCTGACTCCGAATCGATGTTCAAACTGAAAAACTCACTTTAGGAAAGTTTAGACATAACCCCCAATTTCTCTTTAAAATTCATAATCCAACTGCCAAAATCGAAGATATAATCATGAAATATAATCAAAACCTAGTAGAAAATATGCCCCAATCCATGTGGTGAAAATCGCCTCCAAAATCGCCCAAATCCGAGCTCCATAGCTCAAATTATGATAAAATGAACTTAAAATACAAAAATTTTATGTTTTAAAGCTAGTGGTCCTTCTTCACGATCGCATTCACAAACCTCGCGATCGCGATTCCCAAATTTTCAAGCACAATATTTACCCTTCGCGATAGTGGCCATTTCCCCGAAATCGCGCTGAACAAATTCCATTACCTTCCTAAACTCTTTCTAGACAGGCTGTAGTATAACGGCCATAGCTTTTTGTACAAAACTCCAAATGACAAACGATTTGATTTTCTGAAACGTGGAAACAAAGGTTAGAGCTTTCATTTTTGGATCATCTCAAAATTCGTTATATATTGCAAGATATAAGCTTCCAAAATTAGCTCAATGATAGCAGAATTTCTTTGCGGACGTGAAGCTTCCTCCGCGAACGCATTTCACAAGTCAAAATTTTCCAATTTACTCTTCGCGATCGCGATGTACACCCCTATGGCCAAAAATCAACGGCTGAAAATGGCCTAAAAATGGTCCGAAACCATCCAGAAACTCACTTGAGTCCCTCAGAACCCTGTCCGAATATACCAACAAGTCCCAAAACATAATACAGACCTATTCAAGACCTCAAATCACACATAACAACATCAAAACGACGAATCGTCGATCAAGATCAATCTCTTAAGTTCAATAAACTTCAAACTTCAAACCAAGCGTCCGATTCAAGCCTAACCAATCTGGAATGAACCCAGATTTTGCATAAAAGTTTCAAATAACATAACGAACATATTCCAACTCCCGAAACAATAATTCGAACCTGATATCATCAAAGTCAACTCTCGGTCAAACTTATGAACACTCTAACCTTCAAATTTCTAACTTTCATCAATTAGTGCAGAAACCTTCTAGAAACATCCAAATGCAAATCCCGGCACATGCCCAAGTCCAAAATCACTATCCACACCTAATGGAACCATCAAATACACAAAAGTCAAACTTGGTCAACTCTTACAACTTAAGGCGTCAAACATGAAAATCATTCTTCCAAATTAATTACGAATCACCCGAAAACATAAACCGACGTTACACACAAGTCATAATACATTATATGAATCTACTCATGACTTCAAACAGATGAACGGAATGCAATTCCAAGCCATAAATGATTTTAAATCCCAATTCAATTAAATTTAAGACTATGTTTACAGTCTGTGAAACATAAAAGACTGCGTAAGAAATTCTGTTAACTCGGGAGAATGTGTAAAGCAATCCCGAGTTCTGTTGTTTTAGCACAGTCGCTTTACAAATTACATATGGCTTGTTTATCTGAATTATTACAAGTTTTAAGACTTATGTGCATTTTAACTCTCATGCTTTTAATTGTATATTTTAAGTGATTTTGAAGTTTATTTGAAACAAGTCACAATGTCGCACACTTGTAATTTTATACATATTGCAAATTATGCCATGCGAAAGTACCTGTAATTTACCATATTTTTATTATTATTTAATTGAAATTGATGGTCAAGGCACATGAATGTACACTTGAACTTAAGGATTAGACATCACAGTTGTGCCACGGGAATCGAACCCACGACTATGACAACTATTTTATTAATCGCGCCTAAAGCATCTAACGATATTTTGAAATTGATTATTTACCTAAAGTGAATTTGAGATAAATACTGAATGGAGTATGCAAGTGTATGGGAACAATTTCAGATAAATAAATTTAAATGGCTTGTCTACACTAATTAAGAGAATCCGCATTAGGTGATTAGTTTTAAGGGGTTGAATTTGATTAAGTGTTCACGTTAAAACAATTCCAATAATAATATAATTGGGCTTGAAAGGTGACGCCCAAGGAGTCAGGCCTTTCTGAAAGTGGCAGGTCTTTTACACATGATGCTATAGGCCATTATTGGGCCTTGATCATTGAGTGAGGACGAATGTGAGGCCTAGAGTCTTCTCAACTCCAAATTTGCACACAGGTCTACTTGGGCCAAGCACTAGGCCCAACCCATTATTAGCAACAACCTCTAGTTTAGCAGAAAAATAATTGAACGAATTTAGACGGTAATCTATCAATTCAGCATTCATGATTTATGTAAATAACCAGTCGAATAGCCGTTTATATGTGGCTACAATACAAATTACAGAATACACCATTTTATTTCTAAATGTAGATTACAAAATGTTTATATCACCAATTATGAACAAAACCTTTGATCATTTCTCATAACAATCATGATGACATCATTTTCGGCTGATACCTAGTCGAATTTATAAAGTTGCAACCTCCACATTATCACCCATCAAAGATGAAGACTTATCTAGGTCCTAAGCTTACAATCAAACCAACTTGTGGCTAGATCTGCAGTTATTGACATTCAAATCATTTACTTGATCATCATTGAGCTAACAGTTAAGCGATTACTTCATGCAACCAAAGCCAGAACATTCATCAAGGAAAAACAGTGCGTGAAAAACTTCAGAACATTTTCGCACCATATTCAGTGTTATACACTAATCCACAATTGAATGCAAAATAAACAGATACTCATACTTTTCAACTAATATCATTGCTTAAAAGAAATAGTATTGTCTAAAGATTTCATGGAAATCTGAAATAAGCATAAGGTACATTTAATTATGGACAACAAATCAAAACACAACATCAAGCTTCATTAAGGATCGAACAGTACCTTGGGATGCAGAAAAAGGGAAGATAACATCAATAAAATGAAGGAAAGGAGCTCAACGGCAAAATTTCAGCAAGAGACAACAGACCTTTAAAGATAAGTTAACTCTTGAAACCCAAAATAATACAAAATAGAACCTTGTAGACCACCGGAAACCAAAGTTGCCTCAAGACTTTCTATGGAACTTCTATTTTTCTTCTTCTATTTTTGAGATTTAGCAATTTCAGACTTCAGCTATTATTTTTTCTAGATGCTCATGAATGAATCCTAATGAGGGTAGGCGGTCATATTTATATAATCAACTGCTATAGCTTTCTTTTAATTTTCTTTTCCCCTACCCCCTTTTAATTTTTTGTTTTTCTTCTTTTAATCCCTCTTAGTTGACCTCTTGTTTCTCTTTTCTTTCTACTTAGTTCCTTTTCATCTCTTTCCTATATGTTTCTTAGCAGTTTTTTAAATATTCTCTAAGTTGAATTCCCTAGATGTTTCTTAGCAGTTTTTTAAATATTCTCTAAGTTGAATTCCCTAGATACCCTTTACCCCTCTGGTATTTACTACTTTTAGAATTTTATCTCTTCTTACCTCTGCCTTTAACCCTTCCTCTCATTCGTTTACTCTTATTCTACCACATGGGGGCCTAATATGATTTAAAAATGGGCCAACAGACCTTGGCCTTAGATCTTAACTAAAACCAACATCAATCAATACTACCAAACTACCAAACTAAAACTAAAACTAAAGTTAACTAATACCCAACTAAACCCAAGAGCCACTCGACCTGGATCAAGTCCATAAAGCCCCACTGAAAACCCAAAAACTAAAGTTAACTAATACTACCAAACTACTACTATTACCCAGAAACTAAAAGAATAAACAAATTAGAAAATCAATGCACCAATTAACAGAACCAAACGGGTGACATTAATTTCTTATCTAATTGATATTTTATAATTAACTAATCAGGCATGCGATACAGTTTAGATCAAATAGAGAAAAATTAAAACTAAATAACAACAAATGGGAGTAGGCAGTAATACGAAATGACGAGGGGAGTGAGAGGTGGGTGACTTACCACTCGACGGCGAAGGGCCAGAGGACTTTAGGGATGTCCACCGCATGTTACTGGACTATCATAAGTCTGTCTTCCAAGAGATTCGTCTTGGATTTGAAATCCTGAGGGGTCATCTTGGAAGAAAGACTCATGAGAGTTAGATGAAGGAAACAACAACAAGTATCGGTCGATTTTGGTTGTCAACGGTGGATTGACCGGTACCGGTGACCGGGAAATGAACTACAACCAACATCAATCAATAGCTTTTGCTAAGAGCGGTCGATTTATGTAAGTTGCAATTTCAAGAGTGCCGAAACCAACTAGAAAAAGGGAAGGGGTCGATTTAGGTTATTCGACAAATCCTAGATCTACTAATCGTGTAGCTCGGGTGTTTTTAGAGGAAATGGGTGACAGATTAGGGATGAGGAGGAGATGGAGGTTGTATAGTGAAAATTTGGGGTTGTTTGATGGTGGTCCACCACCTGGGGCAATTTCTGGCGGCGGTCAATGGTGGTCAAGGGCGGGAGAGTGGTGTGTGAGAGGTGGTAGGTGGCGAAGGCGATTTCCGGCCACCCAGTAGAGAAATTAGAAGAGGGAAATTAGGTTTGGGGTCTAAAGATCGAATTTTTAAGCTTCATTTATATTAAAAGGGGCAGATGCAAAAACGACGTAGTTTAAGTGACACATTACGCCGTTTGCTGGGTCTATGGGATCAGCAGTGGCAGACCGGGTTAAAAACTGGGCTCGGCGGATCTTTTGAAATAAATGGGCCACTGGAATGTTTGGCCCAACAGGAAATGAAATCCAGCAGGCCCTTTTTCTTTTCAATTTATAATTAAATCAATTAATTAAGACACCTAAATTGAATCTAATTTTCAAAATTAACCAACATATCTATTTTATCTAACTTTTTAATAAACTAAAATTGTGACTAGATGAATTAATGATTAATTAAACCAGAAATGCTGAAATGCAAAGAAAATGACATAATGTATTTTTTATGATTTTTGTGCTTAAAATGCAATTAACATGTAGTTTAATGCTAAAAATGTAATTAAAGTCTAAAATTCAATAATTGAGTTAATACATATTTTTTGACAAATTTATGATTTTAAAATATTCGTAATAATGTAGTAATGCAAATAATCTAGAAATGCAATAAAATGCAATCAAATAAATAAAGAAAAAATTTCTAAAATTTTATAAAAATAAATAAAATGAATAGAAAGCTAATTTGAAGTGTTTTTAGGAGCAATTCAGCGTGAGGCAAAAATTGCATGCTCGCGCAGGTTTAAGGAGATTTCAGCTATGAAGAATCAGTGGAGAGGTAAGGCAGTCTAGGAGGCTACTTGAGAGAGCGAGGAGGACATACAAATCAGATATCCACACTTCTTTGGCATTTCAAGTATGATTCTAAATTCGTTCGAGGACAAATGTTTGTTTTAGAAGTGGAGAATGTAACGACCTGATCAATCGTTTTTCTTTCTAGAAATCTTTTTCCTTATTTATGTCTTCTCGCATATGCCTTTCCTATACGGCTTATGGGGCAAGTCATTGATAATTTGGTATTTTACCAACTTATCTCTTCTTGATATTTAGGTTTTTAAATAATTTTGTTGAAAAAATAAGGCATTTGTTGAGGTTAATTGGCATATTTCAAGTATCATTTGATTTAGAGAAGATACGCAAGAAAACAAGATAAAATGTGTTAAAAATGGAAAACACAAGCATTGGAGCTAGGGTTCTTGCACACACACTTAGGAATTGAAGATTTGAAAATATTAGATGAGATTTTCTTACCCATTTTTTTTATCATTTCTTCATTCTCTTGATTTGTATTAAATATCTAAGTTTGTGGTATTTATTCCAATACTTGAATCTTATTTATAAGAATATTCATTATTAAAGTTTATATTAAATATCTTGGTGTGCTTATGTATTGATTGATTTGTATTAATTATGAAGTGAGTTGAATATTTCTTTAATTATTCTTGTTTTTTAATATTCTTAAAGTGATTAGGTAACCCTAAGACTCGCCCATTAATTTCTAATTAATATATGAAAAGGTAATTTGGGGTTGGAAAAGATTAATTAACAAGAACTTGAGGCATAACCCTCATTTTATAGATTCTATATAGGGATAAGATTGAACTACTTGTAGCCACATCTAGTGAATTTAATCTTTTAATTATTTTAGGGATAATTCAATTTAGAAGGCTTGTTAGTATTCGGATGAGGCAAATATAGATTTATTATCTGAGGCTATTTAATATAAATTCGCTCATATTTATAAAATCGTAAAATATATTAGATCGTTACTTGAGTGTAATTTCTCGTGTATCCATAGTTGTAGCCATTAATAATTTTACTTGTTTTCTAGGTTAGTTTACATTTCCGCATTTAGGTATAATATTTTCTCAAAACCCTTATTAGTGTCTGGCTGAGCCTAATAAGCGATACCTTTCTTACTTGCCTATTTGCCTACATATTGTTCTCAGTAGGATTCGACCCCGATTCATAGTTGAATAAATTATATTGCATGCAACTGGGATCACGTACTCTTTGAGGAGTGGATTTGGATGTCATCAAAACTGGCACCATTGTCAAGGAACAATTTGGCGCATTTAGATTGTTTGAGAAGTAAGCGTGCGTACTTTGGTCCAAACTTGTGAATTATATGTATTAATTTTCTTCTTTTTTTTCTTTGTTTTCTTGTTTATTTTCTTAGTTTTTGAAAGCGACATCATATAACAAAAATTGATCGAATGGTAGTTGTCCATACTTTGATGACACTTATCCTTATTGTGGAGGACCACAGTCATGGCAAAATTGCTTAAATTCTCCAGGGGACAAATTGTGCGCACAATCGCAACCTATAAGTGGAGTATATGTGATAGGTGTAGCGGACAAAATGGCCATTAGTCTAATTGTACTTATTTGTCCTCCCCTTCCCGGAACCCCCGCTATGATAATTCTATTTTTTGTGATCACAATTATAGGGATATAGAAGTGGAAGAAATTGACCATGGTCAAAATGGAGAGTTCAAGCGCATGATGGTATGCATGCTTGAAGGAGGAAACAAAGAGCAAAAATCCTTGGAGGTGCTTTAGGAAAATAGTCTCCAAAATGATTTGGAATCTAAAAGGTTGAACTCGCAAATAGGAGAAATGTTTGAAGCTTTAGAGGTCAAAAAAGCCTCGGAAGTAGATGATAGCCAAGAATCTCCCTTTGTGGTTGAAACCGAAAATCCTTCTTTGGCACTTGATCCAAATCAAGATGAACTCTCAAATGCTCAAAATGAGAGGTTAATGCTCATGTTGGAGGCAATTCTTGAAAATGAGAAGAAGCACAACTTGGCACTCGGGGTCTTGAAAAAAGTACTAAATCGAATTTCTGAGATTATCCCCACATTGGAAGAATAAATGGAACCATTGGTTGAGGCTCATAACGCACACCAACTTGAGAGTGTGGAAAGAGTTCAAGAAAAGTCCAACTTCGAGGAAGAAAATGTAACAATCTGACTGATCGTTCAGAGAATTAGCATTCTATTTAGTGGCTTAAGGTATCGAGCAGCTTCGTATTGTGTATCATGAATTGCATGTGTGGCCGCGTTCGGTTTTCGGATGATTCGGGATTGATTTTGAAGATCGATTCTTGTTTTAGAAGCTTAAATAGTAAGAGTTGACTGGAGTTTGACTTTTATGTAGACGACTCCAGAATTGTATCTTGATGATTCCAATAGCTTCGTATAATGCTTTTGGCATAGACGTATGTCCGTATTTGGATTTGGAGGTCCGTAGGTTGATTTGATGCATTTTGGTGAAAGTTGGAAAGTTTAAGGTTTGGAAGATTGAGATGTTTGACCAGGAGTTGACTTTGTTGATATCGGGCTTAGATTATGATTCTGAAAGTTGGTATAGTTCTGTTGTGTCATTTGGAACTTGCATGTAAAATTTGAGCTCATTCGGAATTGGTTTGATATGTTTAGGCGTTAGTTATAGAAGTTGGAAGCTCATTAGTTCATTAGGCTTGAATCGATGGGCGCTTCATGGTTTTGGTGTTGTTCGATGTGATTTGAGGCTCCGAGCGAGTTTGTATTGTGTTATGCGACTTGTTAGTATGTTCAGACGGGGTCCCGGGGGACTCGGGTGTGTTTAGGATGGGCTATGGGCCATTTTCTCCCATTTTTGGATTGTTGTTCTGTCATCTTTTGTCTCCTTAGACGCGTATGCGCCTGTTCCTTCGCGTTTGTGTAGTGTTATGGTGGACTCAGGTATTTTGTTCTTCGCGGCCACAAAAAGGCGACCGCGTTCACGAAGCTGAGATGGTTGTAGTCATCGCGTTCGCAAGAGATGATACGTGATTGTGTAGAAGGAAGACTAGGAGGAGTCGTGTAATGACCCGATAGGTCGTTATGCTTTCTAGACCCCCGTTCCCCTAATTAAGACTCCTCGTATGTGCTTCTACTATTTTATGACTCGCGAGGATGGTTAGTTCGAATTTGGAAGGGTTCGGGTTGAAATCGGAACACTTAATTCCTTAACAATAGCCTATAATGGTTAAGTTTGACTTAAGTCAACGTTATGATTAAACAACCCCAGAACCAGAATTTGACAGTCCCAATTGGTTCGTATGATGATTTTGGACTCGAGCGTATGTTCGGATCGGGTTTCGGATGACTCAGGAGCGTTTCGGCGCTTAATATTGAAAGTTGGCGCATTGAAAGTTTTCCAACTTCTTTAAGTTTGGTTTGGAGTAGACTTTGGTGTTATCGAGGTCTATTTGGGATTTTGAGCCTGGAATAGTTCTGTATGGTGATTTAAGACTTGCACGCAAAATTTGGCATCATTCCGAGTTGATTTGATAGAAATCGGACGCGCGGAAGTGTTTTTAGAAGTTTTTGAGTTTCATGATTTGAATCATGCGTTTTGGCATCTGATTTGTGATTCTAGATGTTATTTTGGTGTTTCTATCGTGCGAGCAAGTTCGTATGATATTTTTAGCCTTGTGTGGATGTTTGGTGTGGAGCGTTGAGGGCTCGGGTGAGTTTCAGACGCGTTCAGAGGGGTGGAAGGACTTCGGTTTTTCTGGGTTTTTTTGCTGGTGCCTCAGGTATCACAAATGCGAGGTTTTGTTCTCATTTGCGAGGTGGGCTTCGCAATTGCGATGAAGCTTGGGCGAGGCAGAACTCGCATTTGCGAGCTTTTCCTTCACTTTTGCGATTAACACCACTTCGCATTTGTGAAGCTTTTGGTCGCAAATGCGACCTGGACATAAATGATCAGACTTCGCAATTGCGATGCTTTTGTCGCATTTGCGACAAGATGTCGCAAATGCGACATCTGCGACTGGTGTAAGGGCTTTTATTACGGGACTTAGACCTTTTTCCTCACATTTTCATTTAGTCTTGGGAGATTTTGAGAGCGCTTTAGAGAGGGATTATCATCAACATTCTAAGGTAAGTAACTCCCACCCATTTTCAAGTTAATTATGTGGATTTTATGTAGATTAAACATAGGAAAATTTTGAAAACTTGGGGGATATGTGAAAAATTTAGGGTTTTGGTAAAAATGGGATTTGACCACGAAATTGGTTTTGGAATTA